GTTTTTATCTTGTCTCTATTGCTAGCAGCAGAAATATGTTTGCATGCATTATGGAAACTGTAATTTTTTTATTGGTCTTGGGGCTTGAATTCTGGGTCTCGTTGTTTTCCCTCAGCTCTTCAGGTTAAGGTGAGTGCTACCACTTGAGTGACAGTGCTACTTTCATTTTCTGGTGGTTTATTGGAGATAAGTGTCTCCTGGACTTTCCTGCCTGGGCTGGCCTTGAACCTTGATCCTCAGACCTCAGCCTCCTGAATAGCTAGGATTACAGGCATAAGCCACCAGCGCCCTGCAAATCTGTGTATTTTCATGACCAGGTTTATGTATTGTCAAATATTTCTAGTTTGGTATTTAATTCTCCTAGTGAATAGATAACAAAGCTAGCTGCAAACATTTTATGTAAGACAAAAGCATACTTGCAGCATAATGAAATTCCAGGTTGGAATTCTCATAACCCAGGTCTAATTTCTTGATGGAAATGTGCCATTACAGAAGCTGATGTCATTTGATGATGTGGCTGTGAACTTCACCTGGAAGGAGTGGCAGGATCTGGATCCTGGTCAGAGAACACTTCATAGAGATGTAATGCTGGAGACTTATAGCAACCTCATGTCCTTGGGTGAGCAAAGGTTATTTTAACTTGGAAGATCAAGTGCTTTTATTTTAGTAGACATTAGACTATTTATGTTCTTTAGGGAGAAGATTCCAGTCCATTCCAAGATGAAAAACTGCTAGTATATAAGCCAGTCAAATTTGAGTCTGAGAGCTTGGTGTTGTTTGTCTTTCACACTAGTGCTTGAGCCACCATTCTATTTTCACTCTTGTTTTGGGGTATATTCTGAGTTTCTGTGCCCAGGTTCGTTTCAAGCCTTACTCTTCTGATCTCACCTCCTAACTGTAGGATTACAGGTGTAAGCATTTGGACCATTACAATTTCTAAAAAAAAAAAAAAAGTTTCTAGGCCATGGGAAGTGTTATTTTTTTCTAAGAGAAAGTTCAACTTCATTATATGTAACACAAGAGCTAATTTTATTCTCGTTCTTTAAGAAGGCAAATCAATAGTTGGACAAAAGTTCTAAGCTATAATCCACTAATAGGAGACTGACTTCCCAGACTTGGGTAATTATTATAGGTGGATCTACAGTCTAGAATAGAACATACATTACTACTGACAGTATGCTCTGGAAATCAATAAGTAAAAGTGTGTATTTTTAAGCCAAACCTGCTACAGGGTTTAGTGCTTCAAGCTACCAATCCTACATACTCTGGAGGCTGACATCTGAAGGTTTCAGTTTGAAACCAGCAGCTGTAGAAAAATGACCATGAGACTCTTATCTCCAATTAACCATTCAAAAACTAGAAATGTAGCCAAGACTCAAACTAGTAGAATGCTAGCTTTTAGCAAAAGAGCTGAGTTCAAGCCACACAGTTAGCAAAATAAACCCAAAGCTGGATGCTACTCCACCATGGAGCTGTTAAGAATTGAGAAACCATGGGCTGGGAAGGTGGCTCAGTGGCAGAGGAATTGCCTTCCATGCATGAGGCCCTGTGTTGGATTCCTCAGCACCACATAAGCAGAAAAAAAAAGCCGGAATTGGCTATGTGGCTCATGTGATACAGTGCTAGCCTTGAGCTGAAGATATGCCGGGCAGTGCCGAGAACCAGAGTTTAGGACCCTGAACTGGACCCCCCAACCCCCAAAATACAATTGAGAAACCAGATTTAGGAGCAACCTTGTGAACAGGATGTCTGCGACCTTACATTAATGATGACCCAGCAAGATCAATAATTCTCCAGTATTTCTTAATCATAGGACACTGTGTTCCTAAACCTAAATTGATTGTGATGCTGGAACAAGGTGCAGATCCATGGATAAGAGAAGCCTCAGACAAGAATTTTACAGGTGAGTTAAAGCATCTTGAATGGTGATGATGGGTCCAGAACCCAGTTGGTCTGTTTATCTTGAGCTGTACAGAGCAATAGTATTCCTAGTGCCCCTGAGTCATGTGTGGCAGAGAACTAGGTGATCCTTTGTCTCAAGGATTTGTCAATCCAGAATTCACATGGAGGCAAACTGAATTTGGTGTGCCAGTATATTTAATGTTAGGAATTCTTTGTCTGTAGAGAAGTCATTCTTTAAGAGAAAAAGACAATAAGAAATGTACAAAAGGAGATCCCATTTTCTTTTAAACTAGTATTATGCAGGTAGGAGGAAAATAGGAGAATGGTAGTGCTGCTATTCTCTGATCAGGACAATAGCTTATGAGTTGTGCTGGGCATAGAGTGAGATTCAGAATGGAAGCATTAAGAGTACGTTGATGAATAATTTGAGAAATATTTCCTAGAAAAAAATAGAAAAATCGGAAATACAGAAAAACATTATTTTCCATTATAAAATGTCAGTACTACATTCATAGTTAGTACGTTGCAGAGAAAAGTTTATATTCTGCATAAAACAATGCTTTGATATTTGAAAATCTTGTCACAGTTAAAATGTGAGAAAATACCTTTACAGTAAGGAATGTGTGGATCTCATTTATGTTTTTGCCTATTTTTCTGTTATGCATTTTAGATGTCCCACAAATGGAGGATGTGATTAGCACCTGTCAGGAAAGTCACAATAAGTATCTCTCTGAAGTAGCAGTCAGGAATAATAACCCAGAAGAGGAAAAAGTGAGACTTATAAGAAGTTTTAATTTGAGCTCAAAACAGAAGTCAGACCTGATTAAGAATAATGGGAACTCCTTAGGGATGAGGACAGAAAAGGTCACTGGGTGTCAGAACATGGGTGTTTTCAGTGAACCTGGTAAGATGTGTGCTGTACATAGTCCCCAGGTGTCTTCTGTAGTTGAAGAATATAAACAATGTAAAAGGTCTTTCACTGAGAAGACACACCCTATTGTCCCTCAGAGAACACACACAGGAGAGAAATCATATGAAAGTAAAATGGGTAGAGAGATTTTCACTAGTAAGGTATACCTTACTGTCCACCAGAGAAGACACACAAATGAGAAACCTTTTGAATGTAACATGTGTGAAATGTCTTTTACCTCGAAGTCAAACCTTACTCTCCACCAGAGAACACACACAGGAAAGAAACCTTATGAATGTAACATTTGTGGAATGTCTTTTACCTGGAAGTCAAACCTCACTCTCCACCAGAGAACACACACAGGAGAGAAACCTTATGAATGTAACATTTGTGGAAAGTCTTTTACCTGGAAGACATATCTTACTGACCACCAGAGAATACACACAGGAGAGAAACCTTATGAATGTAATATGTGTGGAAAGTCTTTCACCAAGAAGTCACCTCTCACTGTCCATCCGAGAATACAAACAGGAAAGAAACCTTATGAATGTAACATGTGTGGAAAATCTTTCACCAAGAGGTCATACCTTAATATCCACCAGATAACACACGCAGGAAAGAAACCTTATGAATGTAACGTGTGTGGAAAGTCTTTCACTCAGAAACTAAACTTTACTGTCCACCAGAGAACACACACAGGAGAGAAACCTTATGAATGTCATATGTGTTGAAAGTATTTCAGCCAAGATCTATATGTTACTCTCAACCAGAGAGCACACACAGGAGAGAAATTTTATGAATGTAAGCTATGTGGAAAGTCTTTCACCCAGAACATACACCGTTCTGTCCATCAGAAAAAAACCCACCAGAGAGAAATGTTATGTATGTAGCAGGCATGGAAATTCTTTCACCTGGAAGGCACAACTTAACATCCATCACAGAACAGAAGGAGAGAAACCTTATGAATGCAACCAGTGTGGAAAGACCTGGAGGTCACAGCTTAACACACATAAGTTGATTCACACAAATGAAATAACTTAGGATTGTACCAAATGGGAAAGTCTTTGACTTGTAAGACACAGCTCAGGGTTCATCATAAAACACACAAAACACAGAGACACACAGACACACACACACCCTCACACACAAAGAGGAGAGAAATCCTATGTAGGAAAAATAAATGGAAAGGTTTTCAAGAAAAAGTCCTAGCTCAGTTTGTGTCAGAGAACAGACACAGGCGAGAATATACAAATGTAACAATTGTGGAAAGTCCTTTACCAAGTATTCATGGATCCAAGTTCATAGGACACACACACAGCGCAGTAATCTTAAAAATATGACAAATGTGAATAAGGGAAACCATGGGACCTATTATTTGCAATATCTAGTGTATGTATGAGTCAAGCAGAAAAGTTCAGATAATGTGGTGTTAAGAAAATGAACCCTTAGCTATGTATTTAAATGTTTTTTTTTCTTTCATGCATTTGTTTCTAATGCATTTATAAGATTATTTCTTTGTTGCTTTGTATTTCCCTCCCCCACAGTATAATCCCTGCTTTCACTATATTTGATGTCGGTATAATTTGTGGAGGAGAAGGGGAAGAGCAAGTCATTTAAGCATACAGGTGGACCCGTTGCAACAATGAGAAGTACAAGTTGTCATGTCGAAAATGAACTTTACAACTTTGGTGGGGGGGGGGGGCTGGGAAGGGATGTGAATGGTAAACAAAGGAGGAGGCTGCAATGCTTGATAAGAAATGTACTCATTATCTTGCCCATGTAATTGTAACCCCTCTGTACAGTATGTTCACAAAAAAATAAAATGAAAAATATTACAAATGTGGAAATCCTTTGATCAGAAAGAAATACCTCATGTTTATCAGAGAACTGACTCACATAGGAGAAAAGAAAGTAGTGCATAGAACATATGTGAAATGACTTTCAATCAGAACTGAGTATTCAGCATATGTGAGAGCAGAGACAGGAAAGAAATTATGAGTATAGAAAACATTTTGCCCGAAGTCCCATCTGTACAGGTATCAGAGACCTGGACACATGACAGAATCTCTGTAAATATAAACATGAGAGGAAGTCTTTCAACCAGAAGCCAACCTTCAGCAAGTATTAGAACATTCACCCAGGAAAGAAGCCCAATGTAGGAAAATCTTTGTCAGAAAACCTCTGTAAATTATACAAAGAAATCCTTCATGGCAGAGGTAAGCTAGGTGTGAAGGGAAACCATTCTTCACTCTTCAGCTTTCTTTGAGCCAACATTTCTCATCCTCTCATCGTGTTGAGTGGGGATGGTGTCATTCAATATTATCATTTGGCAAATACTTTTGCTTGAGCTCAAAATTTAAGGGACTTACTGCTCACTGAGTTGGTAAAGTACCCTTTCTTTCTTTTAATTTAAAACCTGCAATTAAAATGAGCAATGACACTCCCTCATGTGTGGAATCTTAGCTACTCAGGAGGCTGAAATTAGAAAGGTAGTATTTATAGGCCATCCAGTGCAAAAGCTTCATGAATATGGTTTCTTAGCCAATAAAAGGATGGATCTGGTCATATGTGCCTATCTTGTTTGCTACTTGTGATATGTAAGTATAAAATTAGTGTGTTGAAAGGCCCAGACAAAGAAGCAAGACTCAAAGGTGAAAAATCAGTGATACAAAAAGGCATCTGGTATAGAAGGTGAAGGAAGCCTCACAAATTTAGTCCCTGAATTCAACCTGAGGACCGCTAATATGATCTGTGCAAACAATGCATTCTTCCAATTATTTAGTGGAAGAATTTGGATGTGGTTTACAGAATGATAGGTAAACAGTCCTTTACCAAGTGATTGCAAAAGGACCTTTGCCTATGTCAATATGATGTTATGAATTTTATATCGTATTCTGTGGAAACCATGAGTCCTGCTTGGATCAAGTAGTTAAGATCTCCTGATCTAAAAGGGCACTTGTAAGTTTGTCTTTTAAATTGCAGAGGAAGCATTGACTAATTTAAATGAGCAGACTTTTTGTTTTTCTCCTCCTTAGGCTTGAACTCAGACGCCAGGTGCTGTCCCTGAGCTGCTTTTGCTAATGTGTAGCATTCTGTCACTTGAGCTACAGCACCACTTCCAGGTTTTTCTGTGCATGTGGACCTGAGGAATAGAACCCAGCTCCTCATTCATGCGATGCAAGCACTATACCACTTTGCTACCTTGCTTGTACTATAAGTAGACTTTTTATGTTAAAAGAAGAAAGAATACGTTGGTATGGAGTATCCACCTTCCATGTGCAAGTCCCAAGGTTCAATCCCCCAAAGTGAAAGGAAGAAAGTAGAAAATGGAATGATATGAAGTATACAGATAGAAGAACAAAGAAAAATAGAAGAACAAAGGCAATGAGCAAGTATTAGGTTTTTGTTTGTTCATAATTGTTTCTTTTTTCTTTTAATTGTTGGCTGTGGGGTTTAAACTCAGGGAGGGCCTGGCATATTCCCTAGGCTTTTCACTAAAGGCTACCATGCTACCACTTCCAGCCAGAATGTCACTTCTAGTTTTCTGGCATTTAATTGGTGATAAGTCACAATGAATTTTCTGCTGATGTGGTGCTGAGGAATGGAACCCAGTGCCTCGTGTAGCAAGGCAAGCATTCTACCACTGAGCCACACTCACAGCCCTGCCTCCTTTCTTAAAACAGTGTGGTTGGGGCTGGCAATGTGGCTTAGTGATAAAGTGCTTGCCTACCATGCATGGAGCACTAAGTTTGATATCTCAATACCTAACCAACAACAAAAACTACCAAACACCCCTAGAAGCACTGGTGTTGTAGCTCAACTGGGAGAGTGGTAGCCTTCAGAATAATGAAATTCAGGAAGTTTCCACACCTTGAGTTCAAGCCCCAGGAATGTCAAACAACAACAATAAATGAGCAAATGAAAACAAAAATCCCAGTGTCAGCAAGTTTCATTGATAAACACCACACACACAAACACACACACACACACACACACACACACACACACATACACTCACACACAAACACACTTTTTTTTTAAACCATATTCACCTCCTTTACTGTGTGTGCTCACCCTCCGGGCTCCAAATGCTACCTACATCCATAGGAGAACTTATTGTATGTTTCTGTTGTTTTTGCATTCTTATAAAAATTATTGTGGGGGCTGGGAAGGTGGCTCAGTGGTAGATTGCTTGCCTTGAATGCCTGAGGCCCTGGGTTCAATTCCTCAGTACCACATAAGCAAAAAGAAAATAAAAAGCTGAAAATGGTGCTGTGGCTCAAGTGGTAGAGTGCTAGCCTTGAGTGAAGACCTGAGGGACATGGCCCAGGCCCCGAGTTCAGGCCCCACGACCAGACCACCCCCAAATAAATTATAGTAAAGGTGATATATATATACATATACATCTGTACATACATATATCTGTATGTCTATATATACATATATATGTACATATACATATGTATGTACATACATATACATATGTGTGTATATCATACATATTTACATCTATGTATATATACATATGTGTGTATACATATATACTTCTATGTATATATACATATATACATCTATATATATACATATGTGTGTGTATATATGTATATATATATATATATATATATATATATATATATATACATAGAGGTATATATGTATGTCAAAGTTACATAAGCCAGGTATTGATTTCATTACTTGACTGATTACTCAATTGATTTCATTGATTTCATTACTTGTTGAACAATATGCATTTTTGCACAATTCCATCCCCTTTGGAAAGCAGCATTTATTTCCATATAACACAGTAAAATATACCAATATTAGGTATTGATCTCATTGTCTGGGTGCTGTCCCTCAACATTTTATCTTAAAAATCTATCACTGGAGCCATCTATGAATTTCTACCCCTGGATTTTTAGGTGATTAATTGTAGATAAGAGTTTCATTGACTTTTCTGAAAGAGCTGGATGAAATTTCAATCCTCAGGTCTCAGGTTTACCACCATGAGACACTTGTGTCCAGCACCTTTAAATATTATTATATACACTATGTTATTTGTGGTATGTATTTTCTTTTCATCATTCATGCGGCTTGATCTCTGGGCCTGGGCTCTGTCCCTCAGCTCTTCAGTTCAAGGCTAATGCTCTACTACTGGACCCACAGCACCACTTCCAGATTCTTCTATTAATGTGGTGCTGAGCAACCTAACCCACGGCCTCATGCATGCAAGGCAAGCACTCTCCACTGAGCCACCTTTCCAGCCCCTACAGTAGCATATTCAAAGGAATATGTTAGGTCTTGCATATTTGTTTGTTGCACAGATTCAACAAACCATAGAACCCAAAGACTTGACAAATATGGCACCTATAGTAAACAGGCAATCTTTGAAAAAACTGGCATTATCCAATGAACAAGTCATTGTAACAACTATTTAGTAGGATTTAAATTGTAATAGGTATCAGAGGTGATTTACAGTGTATAGAAGATTCCCTGGAGATTATATTAGAGGTGATTTGCACTGTATAGAACAATGTGCACAGGTTACATGAAAGCAAACTCAGAAATACATATCAGATGAGACAAACATAATAAATAGTAAAGTAATCACTAAAATGAAACCATGTTAATATTGTAATATAAAAATAGTAAATATATCAGGTACTGTCTGATTTGAACAGAAGAAAACATACTCAAAAAACTCAATAAGCCAAAGAGACATACATTAATTATCAAGAAATAAAAGTAAATCAATATAAACATACCATAAGCAATAATCAATACTAAAAAATACAAGTAGTCATAATAGGAAAGGAAAAGAACCTCAGCACAAATTGTGTTACCACAGATACAGAGCATTGATAATAACAGGCAAATTATAAATCTGTATGCTGAAAAGTTCTATGCTGAAAACCAAAGTCTACAAAGACATGATTAAAAGGCCAAAGAATGATAATTTCTTTAATCTATCATTATGATTGGAGAAGTAATATTCATCTTATTGACTGCCTAACTAGACAAACGGTCACTAGAAACACACACATGGATGGCATTATCTTTACTAAATGCTGCTTATAAAGCACTAAGCTGTTTTGTTTACCAAGACAGACACACTGAGAATAGATCTGAAGAGAAATTGTCTAGAAATCAGTATGACAAATATGACATAAATACAGGATAAAATCCAACAGTATGTTTCTAATAATCTAACAGTAAAACAAACAGAAGGAAACTAGAATGGATATGTAAAAAATATATGTATGCTATCATTGTGATTTATTCAATATTAAAGGGAGCCATTTTCTTCACTTGGGAAATAAAAACAAATTGGTTTCAATTTTGTATGGTGTATTCACATGTATATCTTCTGGTGGGTGTGGCAGAGCCATAGAATGTGAGGGAAATAGGGTGATGAAAGTAAAATATACAACTCAAGAGTAGAGATAGGAGGGAGAGTTTGGGAGAGAATGAAGGCATGGAAGACACTGTATGAAAAGAAGGGTATTTTTACCTCACTCATATCATTATATCTCTCTATACATCACCTCCACAATAACATTAAATTACATTAATTATAAAACAATACCTTCATCATAAGCAATTTGCTTAGTGAAGAAAATCTACCACAGTTAGAACAGTTACAATTGTTAGAAACACATTACAACACTTAATTTGAAAGATAAACTATTTCAGTTTAGGTTGCATATTAATTCTACATAAACCAGTAACAATAAACTGTTTCATTGTAGTATCCAATTAAGTCTTAATGTTAAATGTTGAGGTAATAAAAATCAAGGCCAGTACTTCTTGCCTAGCTACCAGCCTAGCTACTGAGGAGGAAACTGAGGTCTGGAAGCCAGCCTGGATAGACAACTCAAACTAAGCAGCTAATGAACAGGTTAGAGGTATGGCTCAAGTGATAGTGCCAACAGTGAGTGAGGAAGTTGACTGACTGTGAGACCTGCAGTTCAAGCTCCAATAGTAGCTCAAGAAAACCATGAGGTATGTGTATTACATGTGTTTCTAAGTTAGAAACCTAACTGTAGTGATACTAGCACGTCTTCATCTCAGATATAAAGGGAAAAGAAGATGAGTGGAGAAGGTGGGGAAGGGAAGCAAAAGGTTAGGGAAAAGAAGGAAGAAGAGAGTGGTGGAGAGGAGGGGAACAGAGGGAAAGGGAAAAGAAGAGAAGAAGAGAGAAGGGGAGGAATACTTCATGGCATCAGATTT